TATGTATATTAAAGGAATAATAAATATCTCATTATAACATTAACAATAATATTATAATAATATATAGACTTAGCAATAATAATTTATAAACTACTTAGCAATAATTAGCATAACTAAGTAAATCCTAAGAACTTTTTATTTTAAGATTACTTACCAATAATATATCAATAATATCCAACAAACACCGTTTCTTTCGGGTTATATTCTGTAATAGTGTTTATTTTTGTATTATTAGTTATTTATTATCTATGTACCAAAAGATTGCTACAGTTTATAACGAAATTGAAAAAAAATCGTGTTGTAGTATTTTTACGAAGTTCAAAAAAGTATTGTCTGATTTTTATTTTCTTTGATAGTTTTACCTGTTTAATTTAATGAACTCTGTCTCTTTTTATAAATATATATACATTATTATTGCATGTTTATATATATCTAAACATGCAATAATAATGCATACGAAATAAATATCACAATATAATATATGTGTCTATCTCAGGGAGCAGACAAAATAACTTCATCAGTTTAAGTAAGCCTAAACTTTTAATAAGGATATACTATATCAACGCATATTTATTTAGATATATATAAATATAGAATAATATAAATAGATTACCTCTGGCGGATTACATCCTACACACGGAACTTTTTCTATATCGCTGAAACAAAAAAATATATTTATCAATATATTATAACATATGGTTCATACAATGTATATATGTCCAGGAGATACTTTTTAAATAAAACTATCTTTTTGATTTTTTTTGTGAAGAGTCTCTCTCATTATCATGATGATTACTGTAAAGCATTCGAAACGTAGGGAACCATTTAAATGAAAATAAATTTGCGAAAAAAATCAGAAAATCTTATTTTAGTTTTATTTCAATTGTCAAATATTCGCGTAAATCTAAGAAAGTATTATTTCATGATAGTTTTATTTTATTTCAATATTATTAGAATTAAAATAACAGCGGCTCGATTTTTATTTAAATCATTAAAAATTTTAAATTAAAAGTATGTGTATTTTTTTACACCTATAGGAGATAAAATTATAACCCAATTATTACCTTGATGGTCTTGACTCTACCATAGCCACAACAGCCAGTATTGCGAGACACATCAATATTTTTGGCATTGTTATTTTTGAATAGCTTTAGAAAAGGCTGATATATGATGAGGCACTTACTAGTATGCCCTGATTGCCTTGTTACCTGCAAATTATAGGAGCTTATGGACGCCGCTGAAAAAGCTATAACGATCATCGATACAAGAAGAAGGACAGAAAAGCTTCATTATTGTATAATACATTGTATTGAATAAAAGAAACGCAAATTTTACAGATAGAACAGACTTTAGAAACAGAACAGACAGACAAGTTAATTTTAATTAACATAATAATAAAAATAATATTACAAGCAAAATAAAAATGGTTTAGATTATAACAGTTTATGTCAAATTCACCTACCTTTTAGTTTTTAAATATTTATAATTTACATGGGGTAATTATACCCTGGTTAAATACGATTTGTAGTGACTTTGTTTCTCACATATGATAAATTATGGAATGAGTTCATCGTATACTAAAAGGGGATATATATATATACGATATCTTCGTACCATATCTGTAGGTCACAAGTTATTAAAATTTCTCGAATGGGTATTTTTGCATTATGAAATAAACAAAACAAAGCAATCTTGAGGCACTTTATCAAACGCTATTTTTTAATGTAAATAATATAAAATAAACATATATATTTTGAATATTATACTTACATATGAAATTGCCATTTTATATAGAAAGAGAAAAACGTATTAAAAAAATATATAGTAAATCAATTAAAGTAGGTAAGTATTATTGTTACCCATGCACTTTCACCATTGATTTTTTTCCTTGCTTTGTGCTTTCCTTTGCCTTGGCTGGCACCGACTTCGAAAATATCTGATTAGGTATCTATTCTAAATGAAAACTCCCGTTTCGTTAATTTTTCCATTTTACTGCCTGGATGTCTGTTTATATATATTTTTTTTAAGTTTTTATTTTTCCATTTTTAATCTAGACGTAATAAGCAGGTAATTTGTAAGAGAAAGTTTTTTTAATAACATATTCGATTACGCGATTTATTTAAAAAAAATATTTATTGTTGATTTTTTTAAAAACCGCTCGACCGATATCGGCAAATTTTATATAATTTTACTTGGGAAGTATAATATATACCCCTTGACACAAAAAAAAAATACAAATCGGTTCAGGCGCCTTCGATAATCGATGAACATAAATAAAAACTTTTTAACAAAAAAATAAAAACCGACTTCAAACAAAAGCACTAAAAAGTAAAAAATAACTGATTGGTAGTTTTCATTTACTATACATACCTAATCAAATATTTTCGAAGTCGGTGTGCTTTGCTTTGTATGGGCTGGCACCGATTTCGAAAATATTTGATTAGGTATGTATTTAATAGGTAGGCTTTAATTACTTAGCCAAACTATATGTTATTAAAAACTTTCTTCTTACCGATTTCGATAAAATTTAAATGGGACCACCTGGGAAGTATATATACCCTTTGAAACAAAAAAAAAATATTTCCAAATCGGTTCAGGTGTCTTCGAGTAATCGGTGATCATACATAAAAAAAGATTCCGATGAATTGAGAACCTCTTCCTTTTTGGAACTCGGTTAAAAGTAATCAAAATCCTCAATATTTGTTTTAAGTCAACTTTACTATTGACTATAAAGTAAATATGTATGTATGTATCTATGTACGTATGTATGTTTGTGTATGTGTATTTTTATATTATAATTGATGTTTGTAGTTTGTACCTACACTTTTTTTTATTTTATTTTTTTTATTTTTTTTTATTTTTTTTTTAACGTTGGGAAATGCATTTACGCACGACGTGTGGGACTCACCGGCTCGGATCTTTTCTTCTTTTCTTTCGGTTTTTTATGAATTGTTACTTGATTATAATTATTGTCTTCGTCTCCAACGAAAATATTTTGTCTACCCTCACGCATAGCACGAATTCGTTCAATGTGTGACCAATTTTTGTGCTGAAAATAAAGTATCGTTAAAATTAAAATAAAGTTCTTAGTATAAAAAATGTTTTTGTTATTGTGTATTTGCTAATAAATTTAGTAATACTATGAAAATAGTAAAAAAAGTAAAGTATAGTTTTAATAAAAGGTACAGGTATGTACAGATAAATTACTATACTTAAAGTTGATTACAAAGACGCATTTACTCTTCAGGCGTGAAAACTATATCTATGTAAAAATCACTTCAATCAGATGCTATGATCAAAGGCGGGCCGACCACTGAACCAATAAACTAATGATAATAGCCTTCGCATTAATAGTTTTGTAAGAAGTAATATTTATATATTACGAGTATATCTAAGCCAGAGTGAGCCTAGTTTTGTGAGTACTACAAATATGTATACATATATGTTTTTCTTTCAGGAGTCAACATTTTTTTGAAGTCGGTTTATTAAAAATAATATTATATTAATAGACTAGCGGCTCACCCTGTCTTCGCTCGGGTTCGCCTCTAGAAAAACACTAATAGAGATCTATTAGTTTCCACGGGAACCGTTAATTTTTCCGGGATGAAAAGTAACCTGTTGTTTGACCAGCAATATAAGGTATCAGCATGCCAAATTTTACTAAATTAGGTACATAAGTTGTTGTGTACTAAGCTGTATAAGTTACTATAGTTTTTTAACTATCCCATGGGAACTCTTTAATATTCCGGAATGAAAAGTATCTTAGATGTTGACCGGGGATATAAGGTCCAACCATGCAGAATTTTATTTTAATCTGTCCAATAGTTTCGGAGATTAGCCTGTACAAATAGACAAACAGATAGAGAAACAAAAAAATTGAAAAAGAAACTGGATTTGTTCTATTTGTCTTCTTACATCCCCTTGACTCGGTTTTTAGCGTTTATTTGCTATGTACAGACATTCTACCGTTTTTTTATAGTATAGATATTATATAGACTTAGCATTCATAACTAAGTCAATACTTAAAACTTTTTATTTTAAGATTACTTACTAATATATTGCCCACTAGCCCAGTAACTGCACCAACACTGTTCCGCATCCCGTTTCGTTCGAGTTACAAACTGTAATAAAATATATATTTATTTATTTTCTTATTAGTTATTTATTATCTATGCATTGTTAAGATTATAGCAATCTGAGTAATTTCTAGTTCATTCGAATTCACGAAATTAAAAAATCTTGTTATAGATAGATGTAGTATTTATTACGACGTTTAAAAATGATTTCATCAGTTTAAGCACCCGTTAAGTTAACCGTAAACATTTAATAAGGACATGGGTATTTCTCAGCGCCTAAAATTTTCGATTTCTGGAGGTTTATCTCCGTAACTAGCTAATAAAACGGTCTAAAATATTTTTTTAATGCACCTTAGACTATTATCTAACTTGGACCAATTCCGTTTGTTTATTAATTGCATTATAAAAGTATAAAAAAATCGTTTGAAACTCATTCTTCTGACTCATATGACGTGTCCGTTCCCCATTTTTATGAACAAAATTATAAATAACACGTTATCTTATTAAAAAAACAATATAAATTATAATCACATCGAAAGAAGATTAGTAATCTATTAACAAAATTTTTTTTTATTATATCTCCGTTAGTTTACTTATTATAAATAAAGAAATAAAAGATGTCCGGCATAAAATTCTGATTAATATCACACGATCGTACTCGGTGAAATACAAAAAGTGAGACCATCACTACCCACATGGGGGGGTAGTCTGTTGTGCGACGAATGGGCCCGAAGGTAGACGTTCGGCCAGGTCAGCGTCGATCAGGAGATACAAAAGTAAGTATTTGATTCATATGTTCTTGATTCAGGTGGTGATTTATCTGGGTCTGATTCATGTGGTCAAAACCCATATGAATCATAAAGTGGTACATTTTGCTTAAGTTATTTATCATATAATCATCATTAAGATCAGGTCCCAAGCATCATGACACCGCGACTACGTACGACACAGCGAAAGAAAAATGATATAATATATAGTAGAGGATGTCACATAGATGGATGCAGTGCAAATAGCCATAGCTATGCTGATGATAAGGTGCTGCTCAGTCCATCAATTAGATGTTTGCAGAGGCTCCTTTCTATTTGTGAAAAATATATTAAAAGTCATGGTTTAGTTTACAATAGTAAAACATCAGTTGCTATGGTATTTAAATATAAAAATGGATCTGACTATGTACCTGACGTTCCCGGGGGAGAAGCCAACTCCTACCGGGCGCGTCCCCAGGTGGCGGATAGGGGAATGCCACCCGCTTAGAGGGGCGGGTGGTACCGGAGAAATCCGGCGCGGACCAAATGGCTTGTGGGGGCCGCTCGTCGAGGCCTTGAGCCGAAAGGTTTGACCGAAGACGTTGCGGCCACCAGTAGTGGGACCGCTTTGGCGGTCCCGCGATCGGATCGGGGGCTGCCGGTTGTGGGACTGTGGTGACAGGCCTGCGACTGGCAGACGAGGGGCCGCGGCGGGAGAGGAGTGCCGGTATTACGGTGCGCCGCTCTCCCTGCCCTCCGCGGTCTCGGCGGGGCCGCCACCGTTAGATGGCGGACACGGTGGGGCTGCAGGGGAAGAGGAGTGTGGGTGTGTCGTTGCCGCTCTCCCTGTCCTCTGCAGCCGGATGTGGGGTGGCCCACTTCAGTGGGGGTGAAGGTGCCAGAGGGCGGTCGACTTGGGGAGGTTGGCCGTCCAGTGTTCTGGCGGAGGAGACCGTCAGGGGTGGTCAAACATCTCAGCCCCTGACATTGGGACGGGCCTTAACAGGCACTCGTCGTCGGGGTCATGGAAGAATCTTTTTGGTACCCGTGGCCCCGGCCTTAAGGCGAAGGAGGTTCTTTGTCAGGTTTTTTAGTGGGCAGGCTGCCGCGCGTTCACCATCTTTGCGCGGCAGGAGCCCCACATAACCCGTCTCGCATCCCCGATTGGCGAGTGGGTACCCGGGAACAGGGTTTTTCCTGACAGAAAAAAAAAGTACCTGACGTTGTTCTAAATAATGTTAAGCTTGATCGTGTTATAAAATTTTAATACCTTGGACATGTAATAAATGAAATGTTAACAGATGAGGACGACATAGAGAGGGAACGTAGAGCATTGCCGATACGTGGGAACATGTTGGCCCGTAGATTTGCTGCGTGTACAGGCCAGGTTAAAATTACACTTTTTAAGACCTATTGTCACGTACACGTTTTTTTTAATTTATTAAGAACACCAACAACATAACACATAAATACATTTTAAATTCATTCCTAATACACAAGTTCTAGTATGTTAGTCTCTTACAGGTGTCCATAGCGCTGACCAACAAATTACATACATGCACTGCTAATATAAAAAGAAGATAAAGTGACTACAAAATAAGGGCAAAAAATTGAAAAACATTAAAATTTATAAATAGGGTTTAAGTTATTTTAACTAATTTTATGTATATAAAAAAAATAAAAACTGAGATATATGTAAAAAATATTTAAATTACTTACCCCTAAAATGTAAACACATAATGTCTTAAGAACTTTGCTAAAATAATAGTGGTAGGGACAGATAATGAACTACATAAAATAATGCCGTTTAACTTACAATGATTTACAATTCTCCGCGGATTTTTCCGACCAATGTATTCTTTAGTTTGAGCAAATTGTTATGATATAGATCAATGTCACACCCGAAAGACAGAGTACTCAGTTCATTATATGCTTTAAGCATTCGAGGAAGAGGAGAGTTCGAGCAAGATACCGTCCTAGAAACTGGCATATCAAACGGGCCTTTGTTTATTGCGCGCGACCCAGGTCGCGGAATCCTGAAATAAATATTCTCTAATATTAGTGGACAATCCATCATTCTATTTAGTATCTTAAATAATGTGCAAATATCAATTATACGTCTCCTATTAAATAAAGTGTCAATTTTAAAAGTCGTCAACCTATCCTGATAATCGCTTCCCTTACTTATATCGCTATTATACACAAGATACTTGGCAAAGGAACGCTGTATTCGTTCGATTCTTTCGGAATGATATGCTTGGTAGGGATTCCAAATGACGCTTGCATATTCCAATATGCTTCTTACTAAGGCATTAAAGATAACTATCCTAGTCTTTGGAGAACGCAAGTCTTTACATGTTCGCCTCAAAAAACCAAAAGATTTTAATGCTTTCTCTATCATATGATCATAATGTCTCGTAAAACTCAACTTGTTGTCAATAATAACTCCCAGGTCTCTGACAAATGGGGTTTCTCTTATACACACCCCGTTAATGTGGTACGAAGCATCAATTTTTTTTTTGTGATTTTTATAAAGCAACATTTGGAAGCATTTATTATCATATCGTTTTCAATGTTTCTTCTGTTCTCTCAAATGTTTAGACTGCCTAGATATTGTTGTGCGTCGTGAATGTTCTACGAGGCACACACTGATAGTTTTGTTGCTGTCATAAAAAAGAGGATCGCATGTCTGAGACAGAGGATAAATGACAGCACAAATTCTATCATAAGAGTTGTAGAAGATTTTGGGCCAAATTTCTACAGACATAGATTTAAGGATTTTTCATATTATGTTTTAGTTTAAATATTTAATTTTATTTATTGTCCTTAATGTAGAAAACCTTTGTATTAATTTTATTTAGTTTATAATTTAATTTAAGTTTTATTTACCTACTTTTCGTACTGCGTAGACAAATGCACTCTCTATTCCTTTAATTGTCACATTCCAGTGGGTCGACAAGTCAACATGCCTGATGAGTAAAAAGGCGCAGATTGATAGCTTAACTTTCTTTTCGAGGCGCAGGAGTGTAAATACCTCCAACTATCCATCTCCGGGCTGCTAGTTGCTACTAAGTTTTTGGTGACAGAAAAATCCAATAATTATTTAGGTTCAGCCCGAGACTCGAATTCTAAAACAAGTAGATCCTCTTGCTTGCTAGCTTGATTAGCCATATTAGCTACTAGATCAATGAGGCTATCAACACATATAAATAATATAAATACAAACACAGTATTTTCAGTGTAGGTTTATAATAATAAGCCTTTAGATTTTTAAATTAAATGTGTACTTTGATAAAAACCTATGTATGTTCTGGATATATTAAAAATATAAAAACAAAATTTTGAAATACTCCTTTGTTGTAGAAAACAGGAGCTGAACTATAGCTGTTTCTTAGTTTTTTGATAAAAGTCGCATTTTCCATTATATTTTTGCAGTTTAAATATATCAAAAGACTTTAAAGAAATCTGTTATTTTGATATTGTTTTTGTAATTAATTAAAAGTTAAAATTAAAACGAATGATTTTTTTTAAATAAAACTATTTTTTCGGATTATTTTGCGGATTTATTTAGATTTTTGGTTACCGACATTTCGAATGCTTTACAGCAATCATGGTCCCAACCAAATCACATGACCAAAATAAAAATAAATCCGCGAAATAATTCGAAAAGATAGTTTTATTTAAAATGTCAAAAATTCACGTAAATCTAAGAAAGTATTAAATGAAAAAATGTAGTAAGTGCATACATACTATGTCAATAAAAACAAAGTGTTTGTGTATACTTACGTATGCACGTAAGAAGTTATACTTCTTTGATTTTTAGAGCATTTAAATAAAAGCTTGTTTTTTTGCTTTTCTTTTTAATTTACTGTTTATATTAATTCTAGTTTTTTTTTTCATTCTTTTTATTCGTATGCTTATCAGCGAAACCTTTCATTTGATATCTATACTCCATGGAGTTGCATAAAAAAAACAAAGTCCGACATCTTTGGCAGTCCGCCATATTAGATTTACACTGATGTTACTTTACTTAATATGTTTCGCTCCTCAAGCCCCTTCATTTGATGCCCATATCATAAGGGTCACTATGGAAATGGTAAATCGCCATTTTGTAACGTCAATCATTGGATTAAAAATTGCGGCATTTAGGTAATCGTGCAGCCACGAGAACCAAACGTGTGTGTCGAATTTCAGCTCAATTAGACCTTGGGAATTGGGTCAAATTGAACTTGTAAGATTTGACTGCAGACAGACACCGGGACAGGTGAAAGTAAATGAAAGTTTGTAATAATATTTATTTTTAAGCATATAAAACACGCGTTATGTATATAGAAATACCGGAATAAATATCTTGATTCTTGAATACAGACATCACTTCACACTATACTAAAGATATTTAACGACTAACTTAATGCTGTAGCCAATAGCGACTAACTTTATGGTGTAGTCTAAATCTGCCGCATCATAAATAATTTATTCCTATCATTCTTTTCCCTAACGCGCCAAAAGAAGTATAAGTTCAATAATTTTATATTTATTTCTATTTGAAATAGTTCTTTCTTTGATATTCTATATCCAACAATTCATTGAATTAAATCCTTATCTTTGAAATGACTACTTTGTTTTTAAATTTTTTTATACTAAGGCATGTTTTTGTGATTTGTCAGTAAATAATAGACTTTAGTTTAAGTTGAATTAAGTTGTTATTGTATAAATATTTAAAATTATTGGCGACATTATTTTGACTTTATCTACACAACTTAAATCATTTTATTATTATTACATTGACAATAATAATCTACAGATAATTAAGTTATATTAAACATAACTAGAAGCATCCTAATTAAATGCATTGAAATTAAGAGACGTAGTTCATATTTAACTATTATAATTAACTAAAGCAAATATAATCAGATCTCTAAATCTTCTAAGATCTCAAGATGTAGAAAATCTATAATATTCCAATGCTTAACCGAGTGCAGTGCACTCACATATATTATGTATGTATATTGTGTGTCATGCACCATGTACATATTATATGCTACGAGTATACATATATATGTATGTATCTAAAAAAATATTTCAAATTATAAATTCTTTTTTAATATTAATACTAGCGACTCACCCTCTCTTCGCTTCGGGTTCGTCTCTCGACAAAAACAAAATTTTCCGGGATGATATACCTATAGCCTCAGTTAACTGGCTATCGAATACAAAAAGAATTTATCAAATTGGATTAGTAGTTCGTGAGATTAACGCGTTCAACCAAACACACATACTTGTCAGCTTTGTAATAAATATCTTATCTCGCTATATCGTAGACCTATGTCTATGCCTTCGAGCTAAGATGCATAGTCAAGTATAAGCCCATTTGTAATAAATTTTTTTTAGTATAGATTGTCAAAATTATGAAAAAAGTTTACACTAATAACATACTTTATACAAGTACATAACATTAGATCTAATATTGTTATTAAAAACTGAATATGAAGTATAGGGATTTGTTTGTGAAAATGAAATAAAAAAATAAATGCATAGTAAAAAATATTTTAAAAACAAGCTTTTATTTAAATGTTCTAAAAAGAAGAAAATAAATCCATCAAACCCATCAAATAATTACATTACTGTGACATAACGCACACTGTGTTTATACGCGCAAGTTCTAATTTGTGTTAACATAATCAGAACGTTCGATTTTTGAGTATTATTGTTTTAGTTTGATTTAAGGTGACTTACGACGCCACTTTTAACAAAATTTAGTCATAGTTTTGTTAAAAAATCATAAGAAAATGTAAAAATCAACAAAAAATATTTTTTACTAAACTCTTTAATTCGATTTTTTTCCTAAGATATTCGACTTTCAATGAAAAAGGATCCTTTTCTTTTTTATCATCAATATTTAATGGATGCACAGTAGATTAAAGGGTAATTTTAAAAATTCAAGTAATTTTTATACAAGGATGTATTATAGTTTTCTTAAAAAAATATTTTGTAAATCTTATAATATTTAGATTTCAAAAATGGAAACTTTAAGCCTTTGCATCAAAATTTACAAAAATAGTACTTAATCACTCCACAACTGCGGACACGTCGGCGTGTCAGTTAACATTAGATTTCTTAGAATTTTAATTAATTTCTTAGAAATTTACCTGGAGATGTTAAAAATAATGGAAATCCTCAGTATTTGTTTTAAGTCAACTTAACTTTTGACAATAAAGAAAATGAAATGAATTCTTAAACTATGATGAGATAAAATCGGCATAAATAAAACATAAAAAATATAATATTTATGGTATTTTAATTTTTACATAATTAAATAATAATTTTAATAATAATAGGCATCATCCGGGTTTGAATAAATCGTCACTTGATTTTCATTATGGTGTCCGTCCCCAACGAAAATATTTCGTTTACTCTCACGCATAGCACGTATTCGTTCAATGTGTGACCAATTTTCGTGCTGAAAATAAAATAAAGTTCTCAGTATAAAAAATGTCTTTGTAATTGTGTATTTACTAATAAAATTTAGTGACACTACTAAAATAGTAAAAACAATAAAATATATATATATTAATAAGTACAGGTATGTATGTACAGATTACAAATTCGCATTTACTTTCCAGGTCTAAGAACTACAAGAACTACGATACGGTAATGTTATACATAAACAATACCGTGACTACGAGTATCTCAATTTAAAAATCACTTCAATCTGATGCTAGAATCAAAGGCGGGCCGACCACTAAACCAATGAACTAATAATAATTGCTTTCGCATTAATAGTTTTGTAAAAAGCTATATTTATATATTATCTAAGCCAGAGTGAGGCTAGTTTTTGAGAGTACTAAAAATATGTACAAGTGTTGTTCTTTCAGGAGTCAAGATTTTTTTTGAACTCGGTTTATAAAAATGATATTATATTAATACATAGATTTAGCATTTATAACTACGAGTAAGTCAATACTAAGAGCTTTTTGGTTTAAGATTACTTACTAATATATTGCCCACTAATCCAGTAACTGCACCAATAATATCTTCCGCTCCACGTTTCACTCGGGCTACAATCTGTAATAAAATATGTTTATTTATTTTCTTATAAGTTATTTATTATCTATACATTTTTGAGATTATAGCAATCTGTGTAATTTCTAGTTCATTGAATTCACGAAATTAAAAAAATCTTACTTTATAGGTAGTTTTTAGTTTTTTTATAGTATTTATTACGACGTTAAAAAATGTATTGTATTATTTTACTTTTCTTTCATTTTCTTACCTTTAATTTCATTTAATCTGCCTCTTTTAAAGTAAAATGGCATATATGTATCGAATAATATTAATTATTAAACCGCATAGGAAATAAACATCACAATATACATATTTGTATCTATCTATCTTAGGGAGTCTTAGGGAGCAGATAAAATAATTTCATCGGTTTGAGTAATTGTAAACAATCAATAAAGACATACTATATACGAAAATCACTGCATATTTATTTCGAATAAAAATATTGAAAATATAAATAGATTACCTCTAGCGGAGTACATCCTACACACGGAACATTTTCTAGTTCGCTGAAACAAAAGAATATATATTGATCTACGAGTACATATGTCATAATTTGTCATATATCCATGAGATACTTTATAAATAAAACTATCTTTTCGAATTTTTTCGCGATGAGTCTCTCTTGTGACCATGATTGCTGTAAAGCATTCGAAACGTCGCGTCGGGAACCAAAAGTCAAAATAAAACCGCGAAAAAATCTGAATTATAGTTTTGTTAAAAAAGTATCTCTAAGTCTTATTCTAGATCGGTTTTTATTTAAATCATTAAAAAATATTACATAATAAATAAAATAATAATAAAATTATAAGACCAATTACCTTGATGGTCTTGACTGTACCATAGCCGCACAAGCCAGTATTGCGAGACACATCAATAATTTTGCCATTGTTGTTATAGCTAAAAAAAGTTTCAAATCTATTAATATATATAATAATATTAAAATATTAAGAATCTTACTTCTAAATAACAAGCTTTACAAAAGAAAAATATATACACATACATAATATATTTTAGATTATTATCATTTAGCGATACCTAGAAGAGCACCGGCTGATTAGCGACCGCCAGTACGGCTTCCGTCGAGGTCGCTCAGCCGGTGATCTTCTAATTTACCTGACACATAGATGGGCAGAAGCAGTTGAGACCAAGGGGGAGGCGCTTGCTGCCAGTCTGGACATAGCGAAGGCCTTTGATCGGGTATGGCACAAAGCGCTTCTTTCGAAGCTACCTTCCTATGGGCTCCCCGAGAAATTTTGCAACTGGATCACCAGCTTTTTGGCAGATCGGAGCATTAAGGTCGTTGTCGACGGTGCTTGCTCTGATCCTAAATATGTCAATGCTGGTGTTCCACAAGGCTGTGTACTGTCTCCTACTCTGTTCCTTCTGCATATCAATGACATGTTGCAAATTAGCAACATTCATTGCTATGCAGACGATAGCACTGTGGATGCGCTGTACACTGGCCGCGCTAATATTTCTCGGGAATACGTCAACGAGAGCCGGAACAAACTTGTGTCTGAAGTCGAATCTCTGTTAACCAAAGTCTCGGATTGGGGTCGACTAAACTTAGTCCAATTCAACCCCAAAAAGACACAAGTTTGCGCGTTAACCGCTAAAAAGTCGCCATTTATCGTAGCTCCTCAATTTGAGGACACTCCTCTGTCTCCCACAGCCAGTATCGGAATACTTGGCGTCGACATCTCGAGCAACGTCCAGTTCCGTGGTCAATTGGAAGGTAAGGCCAAACTGGCCTCAAAGAAGCTTGGTGTGCTCAGCAAGGCGAGACAGTACTTCACGTCGCGTCAGCGTCTTATTCTTTATAAGGCGCAAATTCGGCCCCACATGGAGTACTGTTCTCATCTTTGGGCGGGAGCTCCCCAGTACCAGCTACTTCCATTTGACCGCATTCAACGTAGGGCGATTCGAGTTATCGACGATCAAGCTCTCTCCGATCGGCTTGATCCTTTAGCTCTGCGTAGAGATGTTGGATCACTCTGCATCTTCTACCGCATCTATCACGGGGAGTGTTCTGAGGAATTGTTCGGACTGATCCCGGCTGCTGAATTTCACCATCGGACATCGCGCCAAAATAGTAAATTCCATCCACACCATCTCGATGTCCAGCGTTCCACAACAGTGCGATTTTTAAGGCATTTTCTGCCCCGCACAACCACTCTGTGGAACCAGCTATCGCCGGCGGTCTTTCCGAACCGCTACGACCTGGCCACCTTCAAGAAGAGAGCGTATTCCTTTCTTAAAGGCCGGCAACGCGTCTGCAAGCCCTGCGGTGTTGCAGATGTCCATGGGCGGCGGTGATCACTTTTCATCAGGTGAGCCTCCTGCCCGTTTGCCCCCTTAGTCCCATAAAAAAAAAAAAAAAAAATTAGATCGCGGCATTAGGTCCATTATTCGTGTATTGCTGAAAAAGCGTTATTAATAAATGCATAACGACACTCGACGTCTGAAGTAGGTAACGATTTGTTCAGGAATGAAAAACATACACAAACACTCACTGTTAAGAAGTTATGCTTTAGTCATTTAATTTAATTGTTTTATGAAGAAATTGGTAAAGTTACTATATACGGAGTAAATGTTTTAATAAATTAAAATATATATGTACATTTTTTATTGACAGCCGATATAATTTGCGTGCCAATTAATGTTCTCACAACATTAAAAAGGCAAGGAATAATTTGCGCAAGCTGACGAACGAGCCCTCTCGACCCTCTCTACCAAGCTAAGTTACCGTCAGCCAAATATACCATCAGCACTTCTCAATGGGAAACCAACCCGACCGAGTCCCTAAACTAAAGGCCTAATCGTGTCGTGGTTGCGGCAATTTTGAAACAACTGTCTGAAAGCTACTTCAGGCTCTGGAGAAAACCTAGCATCATAGCTATTCTGAAACCAGGCAAGGCAGCAAATGATTCAAAGAACTATCGACCAATATCTACTATGCCACATGTATAAACTTTTCGAGAGACTGCTGCTGAACCGACTGTACTAATCTCGAAGCAAGGTGGTTTCTGTCCTATTTATTAAGTCTTGCTGCAATTAGACCTTCAATCTTGTGATAGATCGTTTATAATATTTGATTAATCAAATCTATAATAAATATTATGTTTTTTTTAATTAACACACTTACTAATATAAATAATATTCCAGGAAAAATAAAAATGATTTAGATTATAACACACATAAATTCACCTACCTTTTAGTTTATATATTTTTATAATTTATATGGGGCGATTAAATGCTGGTCAAATACGATTTGTAACTGTAACTTTGTTTCGCACATACGATGAACTATGGAATGAGTTAATAAAACGCGAATATATAAATACGATATCTACGTTCGTATTTTACAGGTTATCTGTAGGTCACAGGCAATTAAAAATTTTCAAGTGGGTTTTTGCATTACGAAATAAATAAAACAAATCAATCTTAAGGTAACTTTATCAAACGCTATTTTATATAATAAATATGAAATATTTATAAATATATTTAGTATGATATTTATTTATAATGGAATCGATTCGATGTTATATAGTACTTATTCGAGATATCAAAAATAATAGCCTTAGGATCAAAATTTAAAAAATGCTTATCATAATAAAGGTCAAAATTTTTGTTAAGTAACTTAACTTTTGACAATAAAGTAAATAAAATAAATTATATTGAACTTGGATAATTTCTAAATTCGTATGTATGTATTCGCGTAAATTTAAGAAAGTACTATGGTAATGAGTTAAAATCGGCATAAATAAAACATAAAAAATACAATATTTATGGTATTTTAATTTTTACATACTTAAAGAATAATTTTAATAATAAAATAAGCATCATCCGGGTTTGAATAAACCTTCACTCGATTATAATTATAGTGTCCGTTTCCAATGAAAATATTTCGGGTATTATTATTATGATCATGTCCGCCAACTCGCACTTGACCAGCGTGGTGGACTATGGCCTATTCCCCCTTGTATGGATGGGAAGTCCGTGGGAAGCAGTTGGTCGATAAATGACGGGTGAATACATTATTATGTATAACGTGTATTCCTTCAATGGGTGACCAACATGGATCCTGAAAATAAAATATCGTTAAACTTAAAATAAAATTCTTAGTTTAAAAAGTAACGCAGCTCTAAGCCATATAGAGAAAAATAAAGTACAAAAAATATTTTTGTAATTGTGTATTTACTGCAAAAATTTAGTAACTACTAAAATAGTAAAAAAAGTGAAATATATATTATTAATAAAAGGTACAGGTATGTACAGATTACAAATTCGCATTTACTCTCCAGGCCTGAAAACTATCTGTGTAAAAATCACTTCAATCAGATGCTATGAACAAAGGCGGGCCGACCACTGAACCAATAAACTAATGATAATTACTTTCGCATTATTAGTTATATATTATTATGTAAAAAGCAATATTTATATATTATCTAAGCCAGAGTGAGGCTAGTTTTTGTTAGTACTTAAAATATTTACATATGTTTTTCTTTCAGGAGTCAACATTTTTTTGAAGTTGGTTTGTTAAAAATAATATTATATTAATATATAGACTTAGCATTCATAACTAAGTCAATACAAAGAGCTTTTTAGTTTAAGATTATTTACCAATATATTTCTCACTAGTTCATTAACTGTATCTATAATACTCGTATGTTTTGGACCCCGTTTCGCTCGGGCTGCAGTCTGTAATAAAAGGTGTTTATTTTTTTTTATTCGTTATTTATTATCTATGCATTGTTAAGATTATAGCAATCTCTTAAATTTCTAGTCCATTCACATTCACAAAATAAAAAAAATCTTGTTATAGGTAGTTGTAGTATTTATTGCGACGTTAAAAATTATTTTACTTTTCTTTCATCGTCTTACCTTTAATTTCATTTAATGTGCCACTTTTTAAAGTAAAAGGGCATATATGTATATCGACTAATATTAATTATTAAATCGTAACCAAAATAAACATCACAATACCGACAAACCTCGGTCGAAAAAGATTTTCTACAAAAGTTGTAGGTCTAGTAAAAATCTACAACTTTTATAAATAACACTTTTTACAATAACCTTAAAGTTTACGAGGTATTTGCAGAAAACTCGGTTTTTAACTTTTTCTGGCTTTTTTGTTTTTAATTTCTAGAATAATATTTTCCGTGATGCGGTAACAGACAGACAGGCAAAAATTCTAAAAATTATAGATTCGGCTTCTGTATCGATAATAATGTTTATTTCAATAAGATTTTCCAAAAAATATTTAATGTACAGATTCGGCTTAGTTACAATTTTATTACATATATGTATAGATATGTTATAAATATAAGAATGGCAACACTAAATATAGATTATTAATTAATAAAGTTTTCTGTGAAAAGTCGAATAATTATAATAATAACAGCTAAAATAAAATAAATAATATTCTATATTTAATTATTAAAGTAATTAAAATTATAAAAAAGTTTTAAAAATAAATTTAACAAATATTGTAGGGCACTTTGGTGCCATTTTTCAATTTTTGGATTCATTTTTGTTATTTTGTGAATAAATAAGTAATAAATCTAAGAAAGCATTATATTTGTACCTAAGTTAGATCGTTTCTTTAGACTATTTCAAAAACACAAATATATCGACGATTTATTAACTATGAATATATTAACAAAAAAGCCAAATAAATATTACAACAAAAAGAAAATATTAAAAGAAAACAAAAAAGAACAATAATAATATTATTTTTCAATTCTAAAGTTAAGTCTTCCGTATTTTTGACTCATTTCTTACAATTTAAATTTCGAAAATGTATATAGGTATATGCAAATATAGTATTGAGATATCAAAAATGTATCAAAATTTATAAAAATAGTATTTTTAAATAATGAAAAT